TTTACAATATCTTTATGCATTCGAAAGTTATAATTTAAAATTGTTTTTAAAAATTGATTGTAGACCTGGTAAATTTAGATAAATGATAAAACGCTTATAATTGTCAGTTACTCACTATTCTATATTCAATACGAGAACAATGCAACTCAATTTCACGGATCAATGATTCTTTTAAATGGAAGGAATTTTCGAACGAATTGTTATCGGATATTACGTGACAGAATTGTGCGGGTAAGAAAGTTGTCTAACAGAATAATAGGGGAGAAAACAAGAACAAAAATCTAATTTTTATAAGGACGAAAGTTAATTAAAACTTTGCTCTAATTAAATCGATAATTAGCGTATTATACATTCAAATCAATTTTACTATATTATAATATTACTGCTAAAAATAATTTTTTAAAAAGATATGTCCGATTAACTTTTTTGAATAAAAACATAATTTACACAAGACAAATGAAGTTTACATTTCTTATATGTATTGTGATTTATGTAAAAATGTTCATTTTATTAAAAAAAAGCTTTCTGTTTTAATGCACGTTACACTCGCGTACTTTTTTATTTTATTTATTTCCATTCATTCAATTTATATTATGAACTTTTCTCTTAAAATGTCTTTTTCAACGTTTCAAGAGAGAAGTATTCAAGGATAAGCACAAATTATTCATCAAAACTACGTCATACATACGACTTCAATACCAAAATGCATTTGGAGTTTGCTTACTTTTAATACGAATCGAGTGTACTAAGTACTTTCTTCACTGAATTTTTAAATTTTCTTGCCATTGACCTTCTTGTCACTTTCTTTTTTAAATAAATATATATAAATATATTATACAGGAATTTATCCTCTTTTTTGTAAGTAAATAAATAAATATAATTCAAAATTGTACGTGCTTGATCCTTTTTAGAAAAAAACTCTCATATAGAGTAATAAACGTGCTCTTTTGTAATTTTTATGATTTCCATCCCCAGCGAGAAATAAATTATTCAGTATAATAACATTGCTAAACATTTTTCCTCAGGTTTTTTCACCGAATTATCTCGTGACCCTTCAGCACTCAAAGTTGATTTCTATTATTTTTTTTCCTTAAAAGGGGGGAAGTCTGGTTCTTCCGAAGGTTTTTTCCAATGTCTTTTTTTAATGATATTATATATTTTGATTACATAAAATTTTTTTACACAAAAATAAACATATGTAGAAGAAAATTTCAAAATAAAATTAATAAAATATATAATATACATATTATATTGGGGTGACTCTTATTTTGCGAAAGTTGGAATTTTTTAGTTTCTTAGCCGGAATTCATTTTAGAATGTGAGGAAATGAGCTGTGCACAAAAACAACACATTAAGAATTGAGAAATTTTAATTTAACTCTGGAAAAAGTGATGATGAGACTGTTTGAGTTAAGAATGAAAATATAAAACTAAAAAAAGTAGCTTTTCTCGAAAAATTTGTGAATCGAAACTAAGAATTACTTATTCCTTGATCACTCGAAATTTATGGTTTTTCCTTTTCGCGGAACGAAAATCTTGCAACAATCTTTGAATCCATTGCTAAGCATTTAAATATAGATCATAACAGTCGTGACCTTCTTAATATTTACAGAATTCGAAAACCTCTCACTGTTACAGACTTTTAGGTCTACCTATAAGTAGACCTAAAACTTTAAATTTGTTAAAGTATTGAAAACTTGTAATGTCAGTTGTCGACAATTCTTCAATTCTAGAAATGACTGTTGCTTCCCAGTAATATTCTACCGTTTTCCACGGACCAAGATTCTTTTCCAAGCAATTTAATTTTTCAACAATACGTTGTTGGTTTTCTATAAAGTATGAAAATTTGCCATTATACAATGTATTTTAATTTTTAAGAAGAGACAATAATCTTAAATTATTATAAATTCTATTTATTTTTCTTATCTTTCTCAGTCGAAGCACTAAACATTCTTCGAAATCCAAAAACAATTGCCTTTGAAACGTTTTTTCTTTTATTTCTAGGATTTCCTTTAATCACGTTATTTTTTATTAACTTTTCTCTAAATAAGTGATATTTGTCAAAAAGTTTTCCTTTAGCGAAAACCTTTTGCTTTGTCACTTTATTTATGGAAAATGGAATGTAATAAATATTCCTATCTTCAGCAGGTAATTCACGTTCGATCGCCTCAGATAATTCCACGAATTTGCCACTTGATATTCTGAAAACAATTCACTATTAAATAAAAGAAATTATTCTCATTGATAAAAACAGTCTGGAGTTTAAAGAATTATTGTTTGTGTTCGATTTTGAAAATGTCGAAAAAGAATGAGGCTGTGTTGTAATAGCTAGTTGCCCGTCGACTCTGATAGTGAATGCAAAGTTTTAAATATGCAGAATTGGCAAATTTTTACTGCTGTCAAGTGATATTGCTAACTGATGAGGTTCAAGGACACTGTATGGAAAACCCTGAATTCGAATAAAACACCATTTTTGCCATGATACTGACTTTAACGAGTAATAAAATATATAAAAATATAGAAAATTAATTAAGCCCTAGACAAATATATTTATTATTACATCATTGAATTCTCCAGCTTCGTAAAACTATTCTCTGTTTTGTGAAACATTTTGCTTCTTCCAAGATTCCTATTTGGTAATAAACTTGGCTTTCGGCCCAGCTGTATTCAAAAAAATTTAATCGATCAATTGTAAATTTCAACACCTTCATCAATCACGCTTTAGTTGGTGTTGTAAATATGCCTCCAAATGGATCGTTCGGTAAAGTCTAAATGTCTACATTTTCTCTATACTTCAAAACTTTAACAACATTATAATTACGGGCGACTTTAATTGTAACCTCGATATACCATATCCTATTACCAATTACTTAACAACAATGGTATATTCACAAGATTTGTGTATATGCTACCTCACAACTTCACTTATCACCTAAGTTGTTCTATACCCTCTTCCACGAGAGAATGCTGTCGAAAAAAGATGAATTTTCGTCCAGTTCGAGCAGATAGTACGGAAATTAACACAATTCGATAAAATTTTGATTTTAGACTGCTCATTTTAACAAAAAAGTGAGGCCAAGCCTTTTTTCCGGCGACCCAAGTTTATGGCAGTACTTATAAAATGGGATAATTTCGCCAATAAAATATTTATATATTAAAATTTGTATTATATTTAAATTTGTAATATACAAATTATGCAGATGACTTTTGGAAAAAAACATTTCAAATTTTTTCTCCACATTTTAAGAAAAAGATCTTCGAGTCGGAAAGCATTCTCTAGTGGAACAGAGTATAACATTAGAATAGTCAAACCGGAAGGAAAGCATTAATGTTTTAAGTGAACTTTCAGAAAGCTTAACCTCATTCCAAACAAAAAAAAACAACTACGAATCATTGCTTTTAGGCACACGAGTTTAGAAATATTTTTTTTAAACTTCAATTTTTTACCTTGCTTCTGCGTCTTCCATTATTAGTTTTAATAATTTTTATGACAACAAATTTCTTTTGCGGACATATCTTTCGATTATCTCATTTAAAGTATTTTTTATTTTAGACCATCCATACTAAAAACCCACTTTCTTTTTATTAATATTTTCCTTCATTATTGTTAAATGAAAAATAATATTTAAAAAATTAAATAGTTTTTTTCGTGCACTTTTAGAGTGTATTTATTTATGTTTAAAACATCACATGTTTATATATAATATGTTTGTCATGTCAATAAATAATTTAAACCTGAAAAAACGGACTTGCTCTCAACTCTGATAAAACTCAGGCCATGATGGATGCTATGCCACCGCACCATTAAGTTGGTGGAATTCTTATAATATTAAAAAATACGGGTCAAAAACGTATAAATCATAATTTTTGAAATCCGCTATTTTTAACATTTTTCAACGAATGGCGCACTACTTTTTTCAATCATTACTCAGTACAATTCGTATTTTTATTAATAAATTTTTATATTTATATACTATTATTACTAATTTATAAAATATCTTAATAATAATTTTAATAAAAGTTTTCGGTGTTTTTGCCAGTCTGTGCCACGATGCGTGGAACGCCATTTGGAATGCCTTGCCAGTAAAATGGTTAATATCTTCAACAATAAAGTTCCTATTTACTTGTACAACTTTTTAAGTTTAATAACAACAATGAGAAAGCTCGACGTGGGTTACGAGAAAGTAAATCTTCTCTAACAATTTCGCAACATAGAACATATAGAATGCAAAGATCCTTTAACATAAGAGGAGCAAGATTATGGAATAAACTGTATACAATATATTTTTTTCTCTTTCCTAAGTTTCTTTTTATTATTCTAATATTATCTAATTTAAAGTTTCCTCAGTTATGTTTATAAAATTATTGTATAATTACTTTATACCTTAAGGGGCTTTTTAGCCTTAAAAACTTTTAATAAATAAATACAAAAAATAAATAATTAAAAAATATTATTGTAGAGTCGTTTAGGCATGCATATAATGAGTATGTTTCTATACGATATCTAACCTTTAATTAAAATGCCTATAATACTTTCGGCAAAATATCAATTCCGTTTTAATATTTCTCTAATTTTTCAATTGTTTTATATTCCGAAATACTGTGTGGTAATAAGTCAAATTCCTGAAGTTTGTAACACTCTAAAGTGAATATCTAAAATTCAATATCTGTAGTACGGTTTATATATTTGCACGGAAAAACTCATTGTCTCCCACAATGAAAATTGAGGGTTTAAAACTTCGAACCCACAAATTTTTTTTCAGTATAAAATATTAAAACGAATTGTTCAGAAACGGAATTCAAAAGAATTAAAAATTTCTAATTCTTTTCAATTCCTCACTTCTTACTGGGAAGTCACCCCCTGTGTCATTATCCAGCATTTGGACTCAGTCAGTTGTAAGCTGCAAAGATAGTTTCTTTTTAATCATAGAAAACGGTTTCATATTTAATTTTATTTACTTCAATGTTAGAAATAATATAATAGAATGTATTAATTTGCAGTGAAATCTGCCGATTTGGAGTGGCAATAGTACCGCCTATAAGAATATTTCTGGTAATGGCTGTTTGGGCTCCGAGTGCACTCATTTTACTTGGGTGCTATATGTACGTCTATTTAGTGGCACGAGCACATGCCCGTGCAATTTATACAGTGGAGCTCTCATTCCGCCATCAAACGCAGACTCTGACTCTTCCTCGTTATGGACAAACTTTGGCTGTGACGGTTGGAGCATTTTTCATATTTTGGTTGCCTTTTCAGGTACAGCTACCATTGACAATATTTTTTTACAATTTTTACGTTAAATGTTTATAAAATACATTATTTCAATGTTAGTAAAACTATTTACAATTAGATCAATAATTTTTAATATTTTACAGAATTGCTCATAATTTGAACTATGTGGTTTAATATTTGGTAATTTTTTTGCCAATAATTGTTAACTGATTAGTTAAATTTATTTTGGATTTGATGAAAAATGTTATTCTATCAGGGAACATATATTTAATATTTAAATTTAATATTTATATTTATTTTAATATTAAAAATTTTTAATATTTTCAAACCTTGAATTACAATTCTTTTGAATTTTCTAATAAGTAATAAGAATGATTTATTCAAGAAATTATATTTAAGAAGAGGACTAATTTTAATTTACCATTTCAGACTTGTATGTTACTGGACATCTTCTGTGGAACTAACATTCTATCAGAGTGGACAATCTGGTTGGGTCTACCTGTTCTGGCACACAGTGGGGCGAATCCTTGGATTTACGCTTTTCATCATGGCGAGATGCGCATTGCAGCTGGAAAAATTGCAGATGATTTAGTAGCAATTTTGGGTGTTAAACATAATAGATGTGGATGTTCTCCTATTCGAAGGGGTTCAAACACCAATTTAGAACTTGCCGAATTGAATAACAGTGATGAACGCCAACCTGTCGAGGATTGTTTTGCCGCTAAACAACACAATTACAAACTTTACACAAGTCGTAGATGCCTAGAAATGTCAGGAAAATTAGCAGATATATCACCTGAACAAGGAAATATGGATTCTTCTTCTAACAGTTGCAACCAGGAAAATATAATAGAAGAAAATATTCATGATTTAACTAAAATGCTTGATCCAAACTATATTATTGATCGTAATCATATTATTGACTCTAATCATAATATAGATAAGATAAAAAATCTTAAATATCTTTTAGATCCAACGTTTAATAAAATACGACACTTAAGGAGATTGAATCAAAAAAGAATTATTAACAAAAACTTACAAAAGTCTGAGGAGCCCAGGTTCACATCTTTTCAAAACTTAAAAAGTAGTGAAATTTCGAACAAAAAAAAATTAAATACCACATCAGATCCCGCTCTTAATTCAGAAAACTCTAATAATGAAAATGTTTATTCAAACCATGCCATATGCCATGATTCCGGCCGTTGCCAAAGAAGAGATTCAAATCTGTCTTCTCTCTCGGATCCAAACATAAAGACTGCCATGAGAGATTCAAATGTCTGCCTGAGGCTTCTTCCAAACTCAAATAGTAAATCTCATATCCACGGGCATTCTGTACAAAACTTATCTAATAACAAATGTGAAACTAGTCTTGCTAAAAGTTTGGCTCAATGTCGGCATTTAGAAAACCAAAAAAAGTTTTCACCGTGGCACCCTCAACTGCGTTCTACTTCCAAACCGATTGATAGAATTGATACTTCATGTGTAACCTTTGATCCAAGATTACAGGATTGTAGTAACAACTCTTTACCAAATTCTGAAATTTCAAAAACAAATTCCAAATCAACTATTAGACAGAAAATTTCACCAAAACGTTTAAATATTACACCTAACTGGCTTGCTAATTATATAGACTCCAAAACAAAAATTTCTGGAAATACAACAGATTCAAAAGTGATATTAGATCTGACTAAAAAAAGCCATGAGAGATTGAAGAGTACCGAATGGACCTTTAAAGTTACATCACAGTCGAGATTGTTAATACCTTCCAAGATAACAAACTCTTTAAATGTGCCTATTGTACACTCTGAGCCTCCAAGTCCCATAGAATTTATCCCTTTAACTTCTCTTGAAGAAAAAAAAGTGCGGTATGTAAATATTACTCCAAGGCTACAGGCAGCAAAAAAAATTAGAAGCCCAGTGAGACATTCGGATCCAGTTATTCCTGCAGTTCTTTTAAGCATCGAAGACTGTTGTATCAGTCCCACTAAAAGCAACGAAAACATATGTAACTGCTGGTCAGATACTTCTTCTAATACGACTCCTACCTTTGATCCCATTGAACTTTCTGAAGCTCTTCTCAAGAGTACAGAATTGAGGAGAGAAAGCAAATTAACAGACTCGATTTTTGTGGAGCATGACTCAACCAGGTACAGTTCACGTAGACCATCTGATTCTAAATGGTCAGAATCATCCAGGAGTCAGGAGATTCTATCAAACGTTTCGGAACATCAGAACTTCCCATCATCTTATTCAGTAAATAATTTTCAGAACTGCACAAGTGGTAGTGACCTTAATGACGTTACATCATGCCTTGGTTCTTTTAGGTGTCCCGATGCTCTTAGTTCTTCCCTGCATGAATCCTTTTTTGAAGTCCCATCAGCTGTTAACTCAGATATTTTTACTTCTTTCGAGGAAACAGATGAATACACGTGTGAACCAACTGTTCCTTCCGTTACAATGGTCCATTCTTCAGTATCTAGTGTGAACTTTGGAAAAACAAAAACTGCAAGTGAAATACAAAGTAGGTCTACAGAATCAGTGTTTCACAATAAACAACCTCTTAACAGACAATGTAGAATATTAAGACTAGAGCCTTCAGCTCACCGAAGGGGAAGAGTAAGACCTAGTACAGATTACATTTTGGATGATAATTCAAAAAAAAAGGTTTCGATATTAGCGCCTTTGGCTAGTCCTACACCAACGGAAATTTGTACTCCAACATTTGATATCGTTTCAGATATAAAAGGTGAGAATGGTGTTTGCTTCAGAGTGTGATTGTGAGAATTTCTGCTCTTCTGGTAACATGACTATAAATTTATTTTTATTTATTAAGTTGTATAACAATTTATTTAAGGAAATGTGACGCGCTCCCAAGAAAGGTACCTAAGAAGCAAACGAATTGTAGGTTTTGTTCGTGTAAGATTTATCTTGAATAAAAGTTTATTTTTTATTAAATAAATTTGAAACCAATTTTCATAGAATATTCTGGATATAATGAAGACTCGAAGTTCAATAATTTTTAATAAATAGTTGATTCTTATTCTGTATTTTTACTCAAAAAATTAAAAACATAACCAAAAATTTTTTCTTCTTAGGTACTTTTCTTTGAAGGGTGACACAACTACGTTTTAAACGTTATATTGTTAAGTTAACATCATTAATCAAAAAATGAAAACATCAGTGTTGAAATTTTAAAATTATAAAAATTTTAATTAAAGTTTACAAAAAACAGTCAACTGTTTTATTATAAGATGGTAAGGTGTCAATTTAGCGGATATATATTTATTTTGCTTATCATCGATAAGACAGAAATCAATATTTCAAAATTAATACTTCATTAATATTTGAAAATATATTTTATTTTGTGCATGGTTTCTGAAAAAAATGAATCGTCTCTCACCGCTGGGGTATGATCCCAGAACCTTCCTATTGCCGGTAGGATGCTCTACCAATTGAGCTACAGAGAGGAACTACCGGCAATAGGAAGGTTCTGGGATCATACCCCAGCGGTGAGAGACGATTCATTTTTTTCAGAAACCATGCACAAAATAAAATATATTTTCAAATATTAATGAAGTATTAATTTTGAAATATTGATTTCTGTCTTATCGATGATAAGCAAAATAAATATATATCCGCTAAATTGACACCTTACCATCTTATAATAATTATTATCACGGAAAAAACCCATTTACCATCTTATGATAGTCAACTGTTTTGTTTATCAAAGCCATCCGGCTGTGGTACTGCATAAATGTACTATTTATTGTTGATAAAATACAGGGAGAATGAAATAACAAATATGATTATAATCAGAAGAATTCATTCAAAATAAAACAAATTGTTTACAATCGGTATTGGTAACTCAAATTTACAAAACGCTCTAACGATTCTTCTATAAACTGTCCAATATGACCATCGCAGTAGTGCAAAATATTATTACTATTCATTTAGATTAATAATAATTGATTGCTAAAAAAGTGTTCTCAGGATTTGAATACTGAAAGACTGCTTTTTGCACGATTATATTTTTTATTGAAAAACAGTATCAGGGGGTCAATTACGTATACGTTTATTTTATTTGATTTTGATTTGACTTTGACCGCATTTTAATTTTTTCACTAAACACGTGTTTTTCAGTGACAGTTTGTACTGTAAATGAATAAAAAAATCGCTTTACACTTTTTCATAAGATAATATGTCTAACCAAGAATTAACCATTAATTTCTAATAAAAAACTCTTTTCCGAGTTTTGACGTTTCCACAAAAACTGTGACTAAAAAAGACGTATCTAGTAAAAATTTGAAATGTAGTGAAAGTCAAATCAAATCACTTTACGTAATCGATCCCTAGTTCGTTTTAAAATCTGCGATTTTCTTATCGATATTATTAGTAATACTTTCGTACACTACTATAATTTAGAACGATGTATTTCGAATATAAACATCACACCTCTCAAAACAAGTGATATTTTATTATATCTTGCAGACTTCTTATGTATGTCCTCCGGCTGACAGAAATTAGGATATCTTTAATAAATTGGTAATTTCCGAAAGTTGGCAGGTATTTCTAAGCAGGCGCTATCATTTTAATTATCCAGAATATTGTCACGAATAGGTATTGAAAAATATTTTTGTTATATATCAAATTCATTTGAAAACAGGAAGGCCTGTATAAGGTTAGAAAATAATCAGTTTTAAACCAGAAAGAAATGGTTTTTATAGAATTTTAAAACATGTATTGTTTATAACGCGGAAGAAAAATTATGAAATTATATTGACTTTATTTCTCTAACAAGTAAAATTACCCAAGTGGTACTAACCAATTCCCAAGTAGCACGTACTATTACAGTAAGATTACAATAATATTAACAGGCAATATTACTGTAATATAGAAAATTAGTGGAATAAAATCCTTAAATACTGTAATATTGCAGTCATATTTAAATGTCCGCCTGATGGTAATATTACTTATTAATATTCCGGCGATCTCGGAAATAATAATTAATCAACAACACGGATTTGTTAAGGAGAGATCAACGATTACCAATCTGGGTATTTTTACAATTTATTTGTCTAATTTCATAGAGAAAGGTTTTCAAGTTGACGTTATTTACGCTGCCATATTGAAGGCATTTAATAGGGTCGACCATAATATATTGTTTCAAAAATTATTAAATTAAAGATCAATGCTCTAAACTTCTTCATTATCTGTAATATTTGTACGTTTCCAAGATTTTTTAAAACACTTTGCAATTGCTTTAGCAGAAACTGAATCCCATGATAACTTGATGGCTTGAATTGCATTTAAAACGTTCTAGGCAGGAGCTTTTGCATCTTCTGCTATTACTCGAATCAGAGCTCGTACTAAACGTGTTCTATAAGCTTTTTTCATTATCTCAATTATACCTTAATCTAAAGGTTGTAGTCGGCTGGTTGTATTAGCGGGAAAGAACTGAACATTTACAATTGAGAGAGTAAGTTCTCCTAGGCTGTGCGATGAATAATGATCGAGTATCAACAAATCATGACGATTTTCTGGTATCATACGTCGTTTTAATTTTAGAAAAAATTGTTGAAATGCACTGGAATCAATCCTCGCTTTATTATGATGCGTATAATCGTAGAACAGTTTGTCTCTGTTCATATTCTTTAAACAACACGGATGTTTAGATTTTCCTATAATCCATGGTCAAAACTTCTCACTCCCATCAGAATTACATATTAAAACAACTGTCAATCTCTGTTTGCTTCGAGTTCCTCCATATAACTTTTCCCCCTTTATGCCTAGAGTGTGTCTCGTCCATGTTAAAAATATCTTGTGCAGCGTAATTATTGCAAACACGTTCGAAATCGCTAATCCACTCATTCGCATTGTTTTCATCTACTTTATTAGCTTCTCCACAAACTGCTAAAGAAGATATGTGATGCCGTTTTTTGAATCTCCACAGCTAACCACTGGAGTACTCAAAGTTTTCAATTCCAATACCAGATGCAATTGCATTTGCTGTTTCTTTAATTAATGGTCCACTTAACGGTATATTTTCAGAACTCATATGATTAAACCATTCTAACAACAAATGTTCGACGTCTTCGTAATTGGCACTACGAATTCGTTTCGCTTTATTTTGAAAAGAACTACATGCTGCTGCTTCATTTATCTTAACTTCATTTTTAATAATTGTAGAAAGCGTAGACTTTGGAATGCCAAATTTAATTTCAATTTGTGATTTTGGCAAATTTTTATGATGTACTCCATCCAAAATTAATAATTTTGTTTTGAGGTCGATACTTGTTTATTTTTTTTTACTCATTGCAAACAGTATTACTTGTGTCACTTGACGGAAATACGTTTTCATACTAATTGATCAAACGATTAATAGAAATATTACATTATCAAAAGCGATAAAAGCGGCTTGCGGTTTGCACGATAAAACGGGAACAACTCAACTGAAATCAAAATCAAAGAAAATTTTGTAAGTTTACTAGATCACTTCGTTTGTGAACGAAGGAATTTTAATTTGAACCAAAATTAATATTTTTTTCGGTCAAAAAACCAATTTTTAAAAAACCTAAAAATTCTATTTTTGATGAAAATCATTACTTTTCCTAGAAAAAATTTCTTTTCTCAAATCCCTTCGTTCGCGAACGAGGTGATATAGTAAACTAACAAAATTTTCTTTGTTTTTTTGGGCAACAGCTACAGTTTGCACAAATATTAATATTTTTTAAGATTCTAAGTTGCTAAAAGTTCACTAAACCATGTACTAGCTGTTGCAATGAACATTATTTGAATAAAGTTTTAATGACAAGTCTAAAAATAGTTTTAAAAATCACTCATTTTTTGCGGTCAAAAAGGTATGTAACCCCTTAATAACCACGTTCTTGTTTAGTTCTCTGGCATTAAAAGAGTGAGTTTAGATACCTTGTATGGAATTCTATAAAAACATATATACTGGTTTCTAGTCTGATAGTGATTTTATAAAAGGCCTAGGTCTGTAATTTTTGTTTGTAAAATCATGCTCATTACAGGGTGTATAATACGAGGACTTGTAATGAAACCATACTTTTTTCTTTTTAACCCAGAACTGGGTTACGTTGGCAACGTACTGCCTAAGGGCTTGTACACACTGCCATGTCCAGGTTAAACTAGGTTCATGCCTGATTTCAAATACATTTGACCTTTACTTTCTTTAAATCTCCATGACTTCCATAGGAGAGCCTCAAATAAAAGGTGACATGATGGTTATTGTTTTAAATTAACAAAAACAATACATTTGACCTTTACTTTCTTTAAATCTCTATGACTTCCATAGGAGAGCCTCAAATAAAAGGTGACATGATGATTATTGTTTTAAACTAACAAAAAAATGTTTAATATATTATATTCATTTTTTAGTCAACTTGCATGAGTTTAATTACGCAGTACTTTAATCCTATTTTCATAAACTATTATTTCCAAAAGAATTCATAAACATTTCGCAGAATTGGGAAAAGTCGACCTTAAAATATAAATTACTTGAATTAAATTTATATAACTACGCTAAATATTGATTAAAAATGTTGACTAAAATGTCCAAATTTTAAGAATTTATTTCTAAACTTTTAACTCAATAATTAATGGAATCTCATTACATTTTAAAATCAATAAAATATAAAGTGTCAGTCAATAACTGAAGCACTTTTAAACTCTATCACGCATAAGATTTCTTATTAAAAAATTATTAAAATAAATTTAATAAAAAGTATGTTACATCGAAAAAGTTTCTTTGTTAAGTAAAATTAACAATTTAAACCATTTAATGTGAATGATAAATGAAGAAAAAGAATGATCTGTGATAGAATGTTCTACTAAAAATTTTAGTGCTAAAACTAAAATTCAAAAATCTTTTTAATCTAGTAACTTTACAAAATTATATTTTAATTAAAAAGAATCACCTTACTCCTTTTGAAGAGGTCTATCGCAAAATGACAAACTGAAAAATGTATATCAGGAAACATCCTCAGTTCATTTTCATACAAATAAAAACTTTCATTTAACTAATATTGTTCTTAGAAAACATACCAAAAATACATTAGGTCTAAAAGACATTAGAATAGCCGATATCTTTAAAACAAAAACTTTAAACGAATCTGAGAGTTTTTAGGATGTTCTAAAGACAACAAAAGAATGTCCCAATGCCCACAGTGTCATATTAAATGGAAATTTTAAATTTTAGAATTTCGATACAAATTATTACTTAAAGATACAAAGAAGAATCCTTCAAATCATTACAATAAAAAAAACAGTGCCAAAGAACGAAAATTATTTTTCTAAACAATGATTATACGCAGTAAAAAAAGTCTTATTTAAAGGCAGAAAGAAAGTCTTAATCTAAAATACAACATTTTTAAGAGAGCCAAAGCTGAATTTATGCAATAGATTTTGGAGGATTTTACATGAATGCAGACAAGTGCAAAACTTTAGAGAAATCTTAGATTAATGTTTTCTTTTTACTGTGTATTGTTGTCCTAACTCTATACTGCTTGTACATTATTTTAAATATAAATTATAGGAAAATTGGAAAAATAGTTGATGGAATTCAAATGAACATGAATATTTGCTTTGCAGTAAATATTTTGTAGTAAAACTATGTATTTTAAAAATTACAATCGCATTAAAACGCCATTGAAATAATGTCACTTTTTTAAACTTTATTAAAAGACATACAATTAAAGTCGTTCAGGAGTGACAAAAATATTGAGGACCAAGAAAGTAACTAGCAGTTCAAATTTTTGGAGTGTAACAAAAAGAAAAGAAAGATATAGGATAAATATATTTATTTAATAAAACTGTTAAAAGTATAATTGTACCAATGCATGGCTGAAGTGTGTTTAATGTAAACTATTAATCTTATCAATATTATATTATAATAATTATTGGAAAGATGCGATAGATGATGTATGTATATTGTTTATCATTTGTGTAAAAGTGGATGTTATTAACTCATACAATGTATTAGTTTACGCGTGATTCAATAGAAAATAAGATACTAAAGTGGATGTTTTTGCCTTTTATAATAAAAAATCTACAGTACAGTGCTACAGTACAATATAAACAACATCGATTTAGGTTTCGTTATTAAGATTATTCTAAGTATTATTATTCATGTAAAATATGTATAATTGTAGTGCAATACGCTATCAGCTTTAATTACTTTAAAACTGATTCACTGGTTAATTAGTTTTCTAATTAAATTTTCATTAGAACATTCTGAGTAATATTCTACTATATTAGAATTCAAACAAATAATAACATTTTCACATTATAAAACGAGATAAAATATTATTTATATAAACTTAAAATATAATGTCAATAAAATGATTATTTAAACTGATTCTAAATGTGGTAACTTGCTCAAAGAGATTTTGTTTTGAATGCACTTTTTATCCTCTTAAATAAATGATCATTAATTGATTCTTACTATTTATCGATTACATATGCAGAATTTATGCATCTTCTCATTTAATAACTACTTTTTCTACTACCTATCTTTAATAGACGATCAATTCATGAATGCGAAATAAATTATGTTTTATAATTTTCATACATTTTATAAAATAAGTTTTGTATTTTATACATTCGTTTTTATAAAATTTTATTATGTTTTTAAAATATTATTTATTGGATTTTATGGACATATATGACGCTTCGCGACAAAAGGTATCTTCGTTCAAAAAAATTTAATTTTATGTTTATGTCAGTTTTTACATTAATAAAGTTTTGATTTAGATTTACTGAAATCAGAAACAATTTTTATTTAATATTTTGCCTATAATGAAGACTTAAATATTTAATGTTTTCTACTGAGATGTAACCATTGTTTTTTATTTTTACTTCAATCTTTAAACCAGATGTAAAATACTTCTGAGATATTGATAGGATTTGATTGTTATAGCGGGCACAATAACCCACATCAAAGTAATATGGAACTAGAGAATGAAAATTTAAGTCCTCATCAGTCATTGTTTATTAGTCACATAATTGTGATTCAATTAACAGACTCTAAAAACAACGCTCATAGTTGGTTGAATCCAACCCCACAAAGCATTCGCTTCTGTTAACCTTTATGAATAGCTTTTAAGAAAAAAGATAATGAGTCAACTATAAGGGGATGCAATCGTATCAACAGATAAATTTAAGTGTTTCTATTGCACAATTTTTTAATGGGTAATGGTAATAAAGCAACAATTAAATTTAATGTGTATGAAACTTTATTCGATGGGAAATGCCTAAATACAGTAGTGGGAAACAAAGATGCTATAGTTGTTGTCCAATCTTTTAAACCAACAAACCAATTTAATACCAATTTAATTTAACCAATTTAATAACTTAAAAGAGTATTTACCCAGAATGCTTCAACTCTCAAACCTGGATAAGGACTCTTGCATGCTGAAATAAAAGCTTTTCAATATTTCCTTCATATGTCGTATCGTAAAAACCTGAAAACATAAGACGTCAGAAAAAATTTAATTGATAATTACAGAAGTTATAAGTTTTATTATTTATTTAAAATACTTTATACACTTTTAAATAAGTACTAAATATATAAAAGAATAAGGTATGTTAGCAATAAAAAATAAATAATTAAAAGTCAATATATTATATAAACAATTAATTAAGTATTGAAGTCAACTATCACTCCGAGTCAAGAATCAATTTTATTATTATATAAACACTTTTTAGAAACAAATAAAAAATTAAATATATAAAAATAAACTATATAAATAACTTAAAAATTAATGTTTAGATCAGTATGAAGAAAGAAAGCGGTTCATTCAAAAAGATATTTATGAAAGAATACATGCAAAACTAAAAAAAAATTTACAAGGCCATAGTCAGAAAAATTCGATGAAGCCTTAGAAATTGATCTGGAAATTGTTAGAAATGTGTCTACAATATTGCTTACTTACAAGTGTAAAATTCCTTTAGATTTGGAGAAACTTCATTGCTTGTGTCTAGAGACATATCAAAGAGATTACGCGTTATATCCATGGGCAAGAATAAATCCTTCACTTTATAAATTGTTGCAACATGGATGTCGTATAGCCAAAAAATATCCTATTCCAATTATTTATTACAGTGAAGATGCTTTGGAATCATGGCATAAATTTTATAGAAAAAATATCAAATCATATTCTCGTCAATACAGTCGAAAAAATACTATTTCAGACGATTTCAATCGTGGAATTTATTTAAGTGATCAAAAAATCAGTCAAATTTCAAATTTGAATAATTAATTAATTTCAGAATTTTGATGCTTAAACAGTTCAATAAGAAGGTTTAAATGTAATAAAAATCTTTTCTAAATAACCTGTTTCTGACCATCTATTCATAGGCCCAGAATATTAGTATATGCCAATAATTTTACTAAATGTGTCATGTTTATAATACTCTGTAACTAAGTTTACTATACTCTCAATTAAATTTTTTACCTTTCGAAAGTAGGAATCTCAAAACTGTTTTTTTAATTTTTTGAAATGTACAATTTTTCAATAAAATATTAGAAATTTGAGAATGATTTTTTGTAAATCAAATATTTACACTATGTTCTCAAACTTTTTCATTGGTATATAAGTGTGAAAATATTTGCAGTATTTTTTGAATATTTTTCTTAACCTTTACCAGTGTGATTATCATTTAATAAAGGAATCAGACACCCTCATTGAATCGAGCTTGTCTCTAGAAAAGTCAACGATCTTTTTATACGGGCATTTATGTAATTTTTAATTACGTCTGAGAAATAATTAAGTTTGGAATCAGGTATAGGTTAAATAAAATTATTATTAGCCAGTATTTTGTTAATTGGTTATCTAGAGTATCACTTTTACATTTTCATCTTTCTTCATAGAACATATTTTAGATACAAATATTATAAGCAAACTATATATATTATATTATATTATATAATATAATAATAAAAAAAAATAAATAATAATAATAAATAATAAATAAATAATAATATAATATAATAATATTATATTATATATTATATATTATTATTATTATATTATATTATATTATATTATATTATATTATATTATATATATATTATATTATATTATATATATATATACTATATATTTTTTGAGAAAAATATGAGTGAGATAGCGCTATTAAACAAATGAACGTTTGTTTATAATATTTATATGTTTAATATGCTCTTTGAAAACTGGTTGACTTGATAAAGTAAATATTATCGTTAAAAAAACAGTGACTCTTCTACAGAGAAAGCTTGGACCGATAGATGTGTGAATTCTCTAGAAGATCAACTTCTAAATACCATCAACGGTCACGTTGGTAAAGCTTTGAGAACAATTTCAAAAAAGTTACTGGAAAAATTCCCACATGCCAAAGTTTGCTGAAAATGTGTAGATATGTATTCTCAAAGCTCAAAAATCTAAAAAAATTTAAAAGAGATGCAGGAGTCTTGGGAAGTCCAATTCCAAAGAAGGTCAAGAATTTATTCGAGGGTACAGTTGAATTAGTTAAATAATTTTACGAAAACGATATAAATAGTAAAAAGGACGTTGTAAGCGTAAGAATAGATGGTCAAAAACGAATTATGGAAAAACGATTGTTGTTGACTAATGTCAAAATTCTGCACAAACAGTTTAAGGAGCAACATCCTGAAATTTAAATAGGTTTGAGTAAATTTGCAGAATTACGGACAAAATGTTATGTGCTAGCTGATTCAAGTGAAACACATAGTGTTTGGGTATATGTAATCCACAAGAATTTCAAATTAATTATCGATGCTGCTGATTTTAAGAATTTGACAAATTAACTACCGAACCAAATTCAAGACTACACTGACTGCCTTAAGTTTATCACATATGAAAATGCAAAACCAACTTGTTACTTTAATGGATGTAATTTGTGTCCCGGAATCGACAATTTTTCTGATTACGTTCTCAACATCTTAAAAGAGAACAAGATAGACCAAATAATTTATAGTGTATGGCAATCCACCGACAGATGTACTCTAAAAAAGGAATGTCTTTCCGCTGAAGATTTCGTGGAAGAATTGGGTACTCAGGTAAGAAAATTATTGCCTCACCACTTTATTGCTAGAAATCAGTCTGAATATTTATTTAACTGAAAGAATAACTTAACTGATGAAGAAGTAATATTACACTTTGACTTTTTAGAAAATTATGCTTATGTTGTGCAAAACGCGGCACAAGCTTTTCATTACAACAATACACGGAGAGAAATTTCTGTTAATTTTTGTAAGGAAATTATGGAAAAAATTACTGTGCTTCCGTATAAAATAGGTTTGTTTTGTTGGCAAAGTAGAATGTACCATTAACCAACACAGTTTATACCTAAAAAAACGAAAATATTTGCTGTCTCTTTAACTACAAAAATTACTGTGCTACCTCAGCAAAGAAAATACACAGAAAAATAATTTGACATAAGCTATTTGTGTATGTGACATTCTTTTCTTACAATTCATGTAATGAATTAACATAAATTAAATAATGTTTGTTAATTAATTACAGTTAATATTTATTTGTTTTACATGTGACGCGATTATTATATTCCATGTATATCATGATATTATCAAATCAATATTTGAGGTTAAGTTGAAATTCCATTGTAAACGCATTGCATACAAGGCACACAAGTTTGATTTCAAAATTTCTAGGTTAAGTGAAATCATGGACAGTAAAAATTATTTCATTTCCAATATTTGTTTATACCACTAATTGAAACATAAAATCGAAAACGTCGGAAAAATTTTCCTTGCCAACAGGTGAGGAAAGTACGACAGTACCCAAGTGCGAAATGCCAAGACTGCAAAAACGGCCCATCATTGGTGCAGTAATGTCTGCCGAGAATTGGCAGAAGTTACTGGGCCATTATTGGTGTCCAAAACGTCCCATTACTGGGCCAATGATGACGCCGATGGTCACAATTTCAAATTTTTTAAGACTGGGCCAGCTCTCGACCCAATAATGGCACATTCATGGCAAAGTTTATCAATGTTTAATGGCAAAAGACAATTGCCAGTGATGTGCCGACCATCGGCCCAGTAATGGCTCATTATTGGCACTTTAATGGCAAAAAATTTGTATCGTTCATGGCAAATTATAATTACCAGTATTGGGGAGTAGCTTGGCTCAATAACGGCACAATATTGGCAAAGTTGATCAATCTTTAATGACAAAATTCAATTGCCAGTGATGTCACGAAGATCGGACCATTAATGGCACATTAGTGTCACTTTAATGGCAAACATTTTGTATCTTTGATGGCAAATTATAATTGCCAGTATTGGGGCGTAGCTTGGCCCAATAACGTCACATTCACGGCAAAGTTAATCAATCTTTAATGGCAAAAGACAATTGACAGTAATGTGACGAAGATCGGCCCATTAAAGGTACATTAATGGCATTTTAATTTGGTAAAATTTTTATAAGAATTTAATTTTAAGAAACATTCAGTTATTCAATAAATTATTTATTTTATATTTAAATAATTGAATAAGCTTGAAAAGGATTCAAATTAAAATATTTAAAACTTTGAATTTTCTATATTTTTAACTGTCAATTTTAAAGAATTAATTTTTTTGAAAAAGTTTAATTAAGTATTAATTTAAAAAAGAAGTTATTAATGTTTTCAAATAATTTTACAATTAAAGAAATTCGTAAATAAATGTAACAGAAACCTTCTTTTGAGTA